GAAGGAGAAAGAAACTCTTAAGCAGCCTCCACGCTCAGTGCGGAGCCCAATCTGGCTTGATCTCAGGACAGTCAGATCATGACCTCAGGTGAAATCAGGAGTCAGATTCTTAACTGGTTGAGCCACTCCGGTGCTCTTGGAAATTAATTTAAAAATGTTCATTCATTAAAATACAATCATAAATCCTGTACGTGTTAACATAAATAACACATTTTTATAAGAAATGTATCTTCCGAGTTAAATAATGAGAAGAATGGCATTGTTTTGTTTTTGCAAATCTTTCTAACCTCTGGCTTAACAGAAAACAGCTGCAGTGGGGTGCCTGGGTGGCTCAGTCGGTTGAGCGTCCGACTTCAGCTCAGGTCATGATCTCACTTTTGGTGGGTTTGAGCCCTGTGGTGGACTCTTCTCTGACAGTTCAGAGCCTGGAGCCTGCTTTGGATTCTGTGTCTCCCTCTCCCTGTCCCTCCCCTGCTTGCACTCTATCTCTGTCTCTCAAAAGTGAATGAACATTGAAAAAAAAACAACAGCTGCATATCTACTATTGCATGTAATCTGTTGCAATATGTACTTGGAAAAAGGAATATTTTAATAGCTTTTTTGGGTAATTCTGGTGTTCTTTGATTCTACACAAAAACTGTACAAACTAACGATTTCTTAAAAGTTACTTGCAGTGAAGAATCTGAAACCATATGAATGAAATTATTATACTCTGATACCTTAAAACCAACTGTTCTTTCACTTTAAAGTATTGTTTTTACTTGTACGTGATTTTATAACATGCATTGGTCATTTGAAAAATATTGGTTCTGCAAATTACGCAGATCATCCAAATGTTGATGCATTTTATTTTACAATATTAAAAAATCACATTCATTAGTATCATAACTAATTTCATCAGAAAACTTTATAGTAAGCTGTTAACTCATGGTGGTGGATTTGTTTCCCAAAATTCTAATTTTGCTTGAAAGCTCTAATTATAATTAATAAATGAACACTGCCAATTGTTTTCCTCGAAGTGGCAGGTTCACTTTATTCATTTTTGAAAAAGTTTCTGCTGTATAACTAAGTCTCAATATCCTTGGATTGTCTATTCATCATTCTTTGGTGTGACATAACATTTTTTTAAAGTTTATTTACTTATTTTGAGAGAGAGAGAGAGGGAGTGCTCATGGGAGTGGGGCAGGGGCAGAGAGAGAGGGAAAGAAAGAATCCCAAGCAGGCTCCCCACTGTCAGCGCAGAGCCCAACATGGGGCTGGGATCTCACAAATCATGAAATCATGACCTGAGTCAAGGTCAAGAGTCAGATGCTTAACCAGCTGAGCCACCCAGGCGCCCTTGACGTACATTTCTACCCGCAGTTGTTTCAAAGGGATGAAATGCTGTTTTTGATTCCTTAAGCTAGAGAGGTAGTAATGTGTTGCACAGGTTTCCAAAGTATTTTTCTGAATACTGAACATTAAGGAACTATTGTTTAGGGCCTAAACTTTTCCAAATATCTGATTGTGTTAGATGAGGTGGAGAGAAAGTGCCATACTGGGTAGTCAGCTTGAGAAATATCTTACATATATTTAAGTACAAGAGGTCTTCTCAGAGCATTTTACAGGCAGCTTTCCTTGTGTTTGAATTATAGCTTCCTGAAAACTTTTGTTCCTATGCATAAAGATGTCTTTGGTGGACTTGGGGAAGAGGTTACTAGAAGCGGCAAGAAAAGGCCAAGATGATGAAGTCAGAACATTGATGGCAAATGGCGCCCCATTCACCACAGACTGGGTAAGCTCTTTTCATTATTCCCAATGTGTGCTGTTGCCAATTTCTTTTTTCCCCCCAAACATTTAATTTTTTAAATTATTTTTTTAAAGTTTATTTATTTATTTTGAGAGAGAGATTGAGCATGTGAGCAGGGGATGAGGTGGGGGGGCAGGGCGGGGGAGAGAATCCCAAGCAGGCTTCACTCTGTCAGTGCAGAGCCCCATGCAGAGCTTGAACCCATGAACTGTGAGATCCTGACCTGAGCCAAAATCAAGAGTCGGACACTTAACCGACTGAGCCACCCAGGCGTCAAAGATTTTTTTTTTTTAAGTAATCTCTATACCCAATGTGGAGCTTGAACTCACAACCCCAAGATCAAAAGTTGCACACTCTACGGACTGAGCTAGCCAGGTGACCCCCAACCTTTTTCTTAAAGGCTGAACATACTGTATTGCCTTTTCTCATTCCCTTTCTGCTTCATTCTCCTACAAGAGTTTTGTTTTCTTCGTTTTACCTAAATACTTCTTTTAGTCTTCCAAATTGAAAGAGTCTCCTGTGGATATATATAGATGGTAATTGTAAGGTATTATATACTTGTGATTTTCCATAATGTTTCTTAGAGTATTTTCTGAAGGTTTAATTCTCCCTGGAGTGTACTTAGGTTATAGGCTTCTGTAATTAGCTAAAAATTAAACAAAATCAGTATAATAAGAGTGCATTTCTAGACTAATAAACTACTTGTTTCCTTTTCTCTAAAGTATCCCGGTTAATAAGGAATAGTCTAGGCATTTGTTACCTTTTTACCAGTGTTAAAATACATTAAGAGGAAGGTGTTAATTTCATGAGCCTAAACAGCCAGCTTGAAGAGCAGTTTCAGAAGATCCAGGTCCAGGTTATAATGTGGACTTGCTAAGCATTCATGGATTTTATAAGCAGTATCTAATTTAATTTTTAAAAAAAATTTTTAGGGGCGCCTGGGTGGCGCAGTCGGTTAAGCGTCCGACTTCAGCCAGGTCACGATCTCGCGGTCCGGGAGTTCGAACCCCGCGTCAGGCTCTGGGCTGATGGCTCAGAGCCTGGAGCCTGTTTCCGATTCTGTGTCTCCCTCTCTCTCTGCCCCTCCCCCGTTCATGCTCTGTCTCTCTCTGTTCCAAAAATAAATAAACGTTGAAAAAAAAAAAAATTAAAAAAAAATTTTTTTTTAATGTAATCTCTGCACACAACATGGGTCTCAAACTCACAACCCCGAGATCCAGTCACGTGATCTACCAGCCGAGCCAGCCAGGCGCAGGCATTGCCTAATTTGAACAATTTGATGAGCCAGTGTCCTCTATGCTGGGGTGATTAATTCATAGCTTTAGAGGTCAGCAGATTGTTAGCACTTCACAAAAAGGAAGAAAAGGAAACCTATGAGATTAGCATTTCTATAAATAGACCTGAAAAGAGCAATGTGAATTAAATCCAGTCAGGCAGAAAGGCTGAATATATAAGAAAGGCAAAGAAGCAACATAGGCTTAAAATAAAGAACATAACACAAAGAAAGGAATAGATCTCTGGCCAAAGTGGCCAAAGATAGATAACTCTTGAAAGATGTACTTTGAGATGATACAGACATATTGCTATTTGACAATAGCTTATTGCTGTTCACATGCCATTGCTAAAATTTTAGCACCTCTTCATCTCATCAGTCTTTTTGCTTTGTTTTACGGTGGCAACAGACTTCTATTCCAACCAATTAAATTTTTACCCCAAATTTCTCACTAACTTTCTAGCCTCTGCCCTTTTCCTAAGAATTCTTTTGAATTTGCCTATCCCTTACCTTTACCCCAATGCAGAATGTTCCTGTTTATCCATTTTTTTTACCTTCTTCTAAGCCTTGCTTAACATCATGTCCTTCGGAGAATCTCACCTGGTAACTCCACCTGACTTAAATCCATTAGCACTTATTTAATTGGTGGGATGTTTATTTGCCTGTTAGTATATTAAGCTCTTAATTAATATTCTTTACTCCTATTGGCCACCCAGATTCTCTCTCCAAGGACAGGAACCATAGACTGTACCTCTTGTTCATTTGTGTCTCTCAATGATTTAGGACTCTGCACACGGTTGATACTCAATGAGTATTATTTTCCCACAGCTTGGAACATCACCCCTCCACCTTGCAGCCCAGTATGGTCATTATTCCACAGCAGAAGTGCTCCTTCGAGCAGGCGTTAGCAGGGATGCCCGGACCAAAGTGGACAGGACCCCCTTGCACATGGCTGCAGCTGACGGACATGCCCACATCGTGGAACTGCTTGTTAGGGTAATAGTGGTGGATCTATATTGTAAAAAAGATATCCACCTCCCTGTCTTCTTACTTGAATGGGTGGTAGGAAACTAGGCTGGGAGAGATTAAGTTTAGGACAGTTCATAGCACAGACTTGCATCTCTTTCAAGAGTCGTCATGGCTATGAGGATCGGGTTGCCTAATCTTTTACAGGCTAAGCAGACTTTATTGATTTTTCTTCATTCCCTTCTGCAGGTGTTCTCTTTACTTATGCCTGTTTTTCTAGGCGCTCAGCTCTCTGTTAATAAATGCGACAAAAAATCTGCTCTTTTCTCCTTCCTTTCCCATCTGTTATAATTTCCCCGTTGTCCTTAGAAGACCTACTCATTGAAGACATTATGTCTGTCATCATTCAGGAGAATTTGAAGAATGCTTTTCCCTTTGATATGTCTTAAACGTGATCTAAATTTGAATATGTGTAATCTCCATGGAAATCCTCTCTATTTGGGTTTTGGGATCTTGCACCTGTGCTACTGTAACCAGTGTCTGTTTGAAACAATTACTATTGTGTGACAGAACGGTGCAGATGTGAATGCCAAGGACATGCTGAAGATGACAGCTTTACATTGGGCCACAGAGCACCACCATCGAGACGTTGTGGAGCTGCTTATCAAGTATGGAGCTGACGTGCATGCTTTCAGCAAGTTTGATAAATCTGCCTTTGACATAGCCCTGGAGAAAAAGAATGCTGAGATTCTGGTCATCCTTCAGGTCTGGTTCTTTTTATACCCCTAGAGTATATTGTAACTCAAGTTAAGGATTTTTTGCAGGAGCTGACTCAAAATTGAATTTTCTATATCTTATCAAGATAGTACATCTGATATGTCTCAATCTTGTGACTCACTGTCGTTAGTATTTTTTTTAACCTTTATTTATTTAAAAATTTTTTTTAATGTTTATTTTTATGAGAGAGAGACAGAGCACGAGCAGGGGAGGGGCAGAGAGAGAGGGAGACACAGAATCTGAAGCAGGCTCCAGGCCCTGAGCTGTCAGCACAGAGCCTGACGCAGCGTTCAAACTCACAAACTGCAAGATCACGACCTGAGCTGAAGTCAGACACTTAACTGACTGAGCCACCTAGGCGCTCCAGTATTTCTTTTTTTTTAAATGTTTATTTATTTTTGAGAGAGAGAGAGAGATAGAGCACGAGGTGAGGAGGGACAGAGACAGAGAGAGAGACAGACAGACAGACAGACAGACAGAATCCAAAGCAGGCTCCAGGCTCCAGGCTCCGAGCTGTCCGCACAGAACCCAACGTGGGACTTGAGCTCACAAATCATGAGATCAGGACCTGAGCCAAAGTTGGACTCTTAACCAACTGAGCCACCCAGGCACTCCAGAAGTTTATGATTTATGGGTGCCTGGATGGCTTAATTGGTGAAGCATCAGACTCTTTTTTTTTTTTTTTAAGTTTATTTATTTATTTTGAGAGAGAGAGAGAAAGCATGAGCAGGGAGGGGCAGAGAGAGGGAGAGAGAGAGAATTCTAAGCAGGCTCCATACCGTCAGTGCAGAGCCCAGTGTGGGACTCGAATTCACAAACCCTGAGATCATAACCTGAACTGAAGTCACTTAACCAACTGAACCACCCAGGTACTCTGTTATTGGTATCTTAAAAAAAAGCAGCATTCTACATAGCCCTGAATTATTCACAGTGATTGAAGAGTAGTGTTGTGGCTAGTATAAAAACAAGATTTCTTTGGTTTTAGAGTGTTTTTTTCTCCATGAAAATTTCCCTTTCTAATTGAGCGTGACTTGGGACTAAAAGCCTCTTTATGTTTTCTGAATGTACATCAACTGATACGAGGCAGTACATAGCTCTAACGCATATTGAGTCATAAGGAAGCCATCTCAGAATTAAAAAGGAGCTGTGATTATTTCACCCCTTAATTTCTTAATCCAGCACTTGTATATCAGGGAGTAATAGGATGAAGGATACAAAGGTTGGTAAGACATGCCTGCCCTTGGAGTGTTTACAGTGTGATGAAGGTAAGGATAAGAAATCAAGCATTACAATATTACATTGATACATTGGTATTTATTGAGCATTGCAGGGCCTCAGAAGAGGGGGTATGAATGATGCTTAATGCAAAGATTAAAGTGTATATAGAGGGGCGCCTGGCAGTTTCACTCAGAAGATCATG